AGCGCTATACCGATTAACCGTATATTGGTAGAGGGATGGTGCCCACGTCCTCCGTCGCATATCGCATGTAAGAAGAGGTCACTGGAAAGTCAGTTAACAAAATAATACGCAACAATACCAACCAGTCTTTTTTAATGCTTTTTTCCATTGATTATTAGCGAAAGCTTCCACAGTCATTATCAGTGTTGCTGCAGTCATTATCAATGTTACTGCGAATCTTTCAAACTTTTCCTTTCGTTATATTTTGCCTTTTTATTTTGTCGCTTTCTACATTTTTCTACTGTTAACGATAACAAATATCACATATGATTGGTCTTACGATCTTTCTGGTGTGCAATCATCCACACTGTTACTGTTAATTCCTGCAGCATATTCAGAGTTATTTTTGTTAGTAAAGTATTGATTCTTATTTTAAATGAAAAAAAAATAAAGTTTGAAGTTTAATGTCCCATTTACCATTTCAACCCACAGTACAGTTTTACAATGCATTTAGTATTTCATACGTATGACCATACTATTGAATGACCTTGTTTGTTACATAAAGATCATATCATTTATTACATAAAGAGGAAAGTTCCAGTGACTTAAAGGCGTTTAATGAAGTAGGCTCATGTCCATAAATTAAGGATAATGCAAAATCAGGCAAAGGAAGTGTTAGAAGCAAAACAAATTTGACTTATTTGTAAATCTTATTTATTAAACAAAAGTAAGAGCAAAAAAACTATATGTTTGATATTTTAAAAAAATTAGCGATTTTTTCTCCCTGGAGCAAATTACAAAAAAAAAAAAAAAAAAAAAAAAAAAAACTATTTATAGAAAACCAATATTGCATGTTGGTATGATTGTTAATACATTGTATGTCTCCCAGACGATGCAATACAGTCCGTACAACGCCTAGGCATGCTGAGTATCAAATTATCGATCTGATCTTGGGGGATATTACACCACTCAAAAAGCAATGCTCTCCGAAGTTCCGGTAGACATGTAGGAGGAGGTTGACGGGCTGGCAAACTCGTCGGCCAAGCATGTCCCATGCACATGTGCTCTGCTGGATTCAAGTCCGGTGAGAATGCTGGCCAGTCCATACGGGTGATATCCCCGATTGAAGGCATTCGCTTACGATGTTTTCACGGTGAGGACGGGCGTTGTCATCCATAAACACAAATTGTGCGCCCATGGCGCCCCTAAACAAACGTACATGTTGTTCCAGAATGACGTCCCGATAGATTTGGCTTGTTATTTTTCCAATTTGAACATGCAGGTCAGTTCTGGAACCCAGAATAATTCCACCCCAAACGAGCACTCCTGCACCACCGTAACGGTGTCGTTCAATGATGTTTTCTTGGTGGTAACGGGTACCTGGAGCTCTCCATATGAAAGTCCGGCGAGAATCAGACTGCAAGCTAAACCTGGACTCGTCGGAAAACATCACACAAGCCCACTGTTACGGTGTCCACAGTGCATGCTCTCTACTCCAGACTAACCGCAGGCGACAGTGAGTTGCAGTAAGTGGAACGCATCTGACAGGTCTACGAGCATATATACCAATCTGCCCTAAGCGTCTGTACACGGTCTGCCTTGAAATTGTCGTACCAGTGGCTGAAGAGAGCTGACGAGACAGGTCTGAGGCTGTGCTCCGCCTGTTTCTTTTGGCAGTAACTGCCAAATACCGGTCCTCATTCGGCGTTGTAACTCTGGGGCAACCTGTGTTGTAACGTCTACTCACATTACCATCATCTTGGAATCGTTACTAAAGCCTGGAGATGACACTCTGGGCAATTCCAAGTTCGTCTGATGCTTCCAGTTGGGTAAGCCCACATTCCGTAGTTGTTCAGGCCCCGATAATTATACCACGTAAAAAATCATCCAAATGCGACCTTTGTGTCATAACTATTCGGTTTTGCACTGAAATGCTTATAAAGCGCCTGCGAACAATTTTACTTCTTTGACTGTATTCCTTATATATCACTCTCTTACACTCTCGTCATTGTGACGTACCATCGGTGGTCATCTGGTTACTTCCTGAAATTGCATATGATCTTGAAGATGTGTGTAGTGATTTTACAGGTGATATATTTATTTTAGAGTTCGATTTCCAAGTGACTCCGAATTATCCTTAATTTATGGACATGAGTGTATTACAAACATAAAAGAATGAGAAAACTTAGGATCAAAATTTATATTTCTCCAATTTTTCTGAGATAGCTTCATTAAGTTTTATTTGACTTCGGGGTAGATTTCTAAAATGGAATTACCTTATTTTAATTGATGAATCTGGCATTTAATTTATTAAATTAAATTAACCCGAGAAAAAGTAGCTATGTGTAAAGAATTTGACTCCTAGGAATCTTTTTAATTGATGAATAATATTCCAGGTAATCACATTTTTTAATAATTTCTGATTTGAAGGGAGAGATGCAAAAGGAGAGCACAAAAAGGTAGAAGACTGGTGTTTTAAAAGCAATAAATATTTTTTTTAACATGCGTGAACACACCCTGTTTAATACGCCCTTTAAATAGCTCCGTTTAATATTGTATTGCTCAGCATCTTTCTTTCCAAGACCGTGTATTACGCGTCATCTGGTTAACTGCATTATTTTAACTTCCTTGTACGGAGTAAAGGAAGTACTGAATCGCGAAAGGGTACCATATTTCAACGAAAATATCCATTTCAAACGCTCTCTAAGCCATTTGAACGATGCTTTTGTGTGACATATGTATGTACAGACAGATTAAAGGACTGCTTTTGTCAAAAAGGATTGTAAAATGGATTCAAAAGAGATTTTTTCTTGACGTATGTATGTATCTCGCATAACTCAAGAACGAGTAGCCTTAGAACGTTGAAATTTTGCATATGGGACTGCTATAACATATAGCTGTGCACCTCTCTTTGTGGTTGAAATCGGCTGCACTAATCCTCTCTCTCTATATATATAGATATATAGATATATATATATTCCCACTCTGTTACCCTGCTCGGTGAGTTTAGTTTTTTATTCTTATATGTTGGTAAATTGTGCATTTTTTTTTTGCTTTAAAAGGGATTGAATTATGTGTTTTATATGTTGCAGTTAAAATTTTTATGCCTTTAGTTAATCTGAATGCAATAGCTGTAGAATTATCAACAATTTAAAAGTTTAAGTGGCGAGTTGAGCCTAATAAACCGCTATTTCTTTTTACATATGAAACTCAGTAGTATAGTAAACTAAATTAGTTTCTGCACCTTAATGTCTTTTTGCCGAGAGGAACCAAAAGTAAACTTTCAGTTTCGTGCACACTCATCCGCTGGTAGCATTACTTGTTTTTGCGTAAGAAGTATATTTTTAATTGTAAAATTGCTTTTTTTTAACTGTATTTGGTGGTTTGTGTTTTTCTTTATTTTACGAATTTTAACGAAGATGTTTTCAGATTTTATATATTTTGCTTGTGAGAACTGATTTAATTGAATGAAAGAAGTATTTGTAATGAAATTCGAGGAAATAAGTTTAAATGAAATGCAGCAAAAATGTGTATAATTTAATATGTTATATAGTATTCACATCAGATTTTTTTTTATAAAATATACGTATTAGTCATTATTCTAATTTTCAGTTAAGAAACTAAGAATTTAAAAATATAGAAAACAAACTTCTCAATAATATGCTGTGTTAAAAAATGTATGACTAAACATATGCTGTTGCTTCCTGTCTACTCATGGATAGTTAAGAGTCCTGATTCATATACAAGTTAATTTGAGGGTAATTAAATAGCCTCGGTTTTTTCTACTGCTTATAATAACTATTGTTTTAGTTAACCTGTCCTCGCTTGGATTTTCTGGAACACTTCACTCTTTTGAAAAAATCCAAATTGTTGTAAGAAAACTAGAATCATACGGTCAAAAAGTTACAGTTAAAAAGCTAAAAATCAACTTTTATTATTAAATTTAGAGTTTCTATGCAAAAACAAGGAATTCGGCCAACGAGTAAGAATCAAATTTTTCGTGAAAAAAATTGAAAGTTAACTTTCAGGCCGTCGAGGCAAACAGACATTGAAGTTGATGCACAAACTGATTTAATTCACTTTTCGATTAAAAGTTCCAAATGTAAATAAATAACGGCCCTCTTAGGCCTAGAGCCACTTAAAATTTTAAATTATTGATAATTCTACAACTATTGCATGCAGATTACCTAAAAGCATAAAATAACTTAACCGGAGCATAAAAACAACTTAATTCAATTTTTTAAAGTAAAAAATGCTCAATTTACCAATATATATGAATAAAAATTACAGCTTTTCAGTATTATGTTATTATGAATTAAACTTTTTAAACACGTCTTAAAACATAAATATTCACAAAATAACATTATTTAAACTATAATTAATTGTTTAAATGCTTTAAATGATTTATGCTCTTGAGAGTATGAAAATCTGCTTTTCTTTCTTTTTTTCTCCTTTTCTTTCCATTTTCAAATACTATAGTAAAACACTAACTTCACGCCAAAGTTAAAACAATTGTAGCAATTTAGTGCAATCATTGTGAAGTCTGAACTGCAGATCTTCTTATAGCATAACTTCAAGGAGTCGTTGATCGAAAGTTTACGTGTGTGGACTAACGCGACTAAAAAGACAAGCTTTTTTATTTCAAATGCACCCAATTTTTAAATATGAAAATGTGTCAATTTCGAAAAAAAATTTCGTGTTTCTGTGGGGCGTTTGAATTGAAACTGATACGTTAAGCAAAATTATTACAAGTGCAATGATTCATAGTTTTCTAGAAAATAGCTCATTTCAAGTTGGAGAATAACTTGTTAAATGTATTCTGTACAGAAACAAAAACAAGCATTAATAAAGATAAATGATTTACACCTGATAAGATTATTAACAGTGAATGATGGAATCGCTATCAAATCTTGTGTCATTTTATCACATAAACTGTCTTCTTTTCGTTATTAAATAAAAAATTATAAGATAATATGTTATCATTCATTGGATGACATGATTTTCCTTTCAAACACCTGAATGGAAATGCCTCTTTAACCACTCTGCGTGAAGCAGAATATTCAGAAGTGATAAATAGTCAAACAATCATAAATTCAGCCTTTCCAAGTGTTAGTTCTTTATGTTTTCGACCCGTTTACGGTGAATTTAAGGTAGGTACGTATGAAATTCTGATGCTCAAAATTGGATAAAACATTGCATATATTTAAAGCTTATAATTGTTATATGTATATCGCGTTTAAATTATTTTTAACTTAGCAGTTAAAGTTTTCCTTTTAAATAGCATGAAATTTAAAGTCTTTTTGCAGAATCTCGTGAATTTTTATTTCGAAGTGTTTATTTCCAACTTTTTTTCTAAATGGAAATGTTTTATCAAACCCTAGTTTTGTTAGCAAAATGAGGAAGGGAGTCATGTATTTGACAGAACAGAATATGAAAACGAAATCATTAAAATCAAATTAGCAGCATGTTTTTACAGATTTTTATATATAATGCATTAATGTTAACAGTTATACTTTAGTATTCAGTTAAATCTATTCGTAAACGCAAAGAAATGTTCTAGAGTATAATGCTTACTATTATAATGTTCTCACAGTAATGAAACCAAGATTTATTGACTTTAAAATATTCATTTACGACGAATGCTTGAACAGCATGAGTTTAAATAACCCATCTTCAATTACGTGAGAATTTCTTCCTTTTCAAATAGGTCATGATATAATTAAGATACAATAACACGCCGAACAAATATTAATTTAGAAGTTAAACAACAAAAATCAGCGTTATATTTTCGAATTTTCATAGGACTAGTTTCATTGGTTTTACTGAACCATCGAAACTAGTCCTGTGAAAATTTGAATATATAAGGCTGATTTTTGTTGTTTGACTTCTAAATTAATAGGTCATGATATGCTTACTTAAATTTTTAAATATGATTTTAAAGTAAATTTTCGTAATGTTTTCAGCAATTTAATTGTTTTTTACATTTTTAAATAATTTTTTTCGTGCACGTGATTCGAGTTTTTACAATCCAGTTGAATATTACTAACGTAGGCACAATAAACAATTAGTACAAATTCATCTCAGTTGCTCGCAGCTTTTGTAGACATCATTGAAGAACGAATTTAAATTACTTTATGCTAGAACGTGCACTGAACCTGCTAATTTACGGTTACCATATGGCTGAGTTTATATTTAAATCGCGAAGAATACATAGATCTTTGTAGCTGTTTTGCGGGTGCAATAGCAGTCACCTCTTGTAATCTACCTTAGCCAATGTTCTAGATGAAACGGGTATATTACCGATATGTTTGGATTTTCCAGATGAATTTCCAGCCTTTGTGTTAAAAACAAAAAACCACTATTTTAGGAAAGAGAGTTTTACACATTATCAACATCAAGTATTAGAGAGAATGAACGTTTTTGGCTGAGTTTCTATAATTTTCTGTCTAGTTTAATTTTTATTCCCATAAGATAACAAGAAATTTCATATTATCTATTCTATGAAAGATTTTTAATATTTTCAGAGCTTTTATATCAACAAACAATACTGAATGATAGCTGTTTGTTGGAATGAAACGTCAATAATAGCGCTTTCAGATCTAGAACAATGTGTTTTTCAAACCCCAACTACATAAGCTACAGCACTCCGGGATTTAGAATGTAAAACACCGTGCTCCAGACCTAAATTGGAGAAACTGTATATAAGTTTTGGTTCTAGCTCGTTATATAAACTCACCAAATTAGCATTTTTCGATGGGATAGAAGAAAGCATAGAAGTTCAGGAAAGATTCAATATAAGCCGTAATTAATTAAAATAAATCTTACAAATAACCTTGTTTCCTTTGGACGATGAATAATACCTTTCGTTTATCTTCGATATTGCAGAATACAGCTTTAAATGAATCACTTTAGTTTCCAAAAATGTTACTCGAAATGTTTTTGTTAAAAAAGTAGTTTATTTAAAACGTTTTTGAAAATAAACTCTCATAATTATTCGGACACTTTAAATAATCTTTTTATATGCAATAAAAACTTGAAACTAACAAGACATTTAATACTTCGTTGGATATCATTTAGCTAAAATGACACTTTCTATGCGCTTTGACATGAATCACACATCTGTTTTCATGCAAGAATGTTCCTTTTGTTTGTATTCCTACGTAAAAATTGCTTATGGTAGAGCTTTCCAAGAAATATCATATTTCCTTATTCTTCTCCAACTCACTCCATACATATTCCATGGTATTTAAGTCCGGGGAATATGGAATTTTGATAATTTTAGGACATCTGCATAATAACCACAAGCGCACATTTTGAGCTTTAGATTTAGGATCGTTATCCTGGTAGAAAAGTGAATGTATTTCACATTTCATGTTTTCTTAGGAATGCTTTAATTTTTTCTTTAAGGGGGCTCATACACCTTAAGCCCCCTATGATCTTCGAATATGTGACAGTTGCAAGAATTGGAATATTTTGTTTATTTTAAAAGCAGTTACTTCCAACTTTTTACAGCTGACTACATAATGTAGTTGCTTTGGAAACTAGTAACCAAAACGTTTGTGTTACCACAAATATAAATATTTTTGATATTTAATCCGCTTTGTGACAAAATGTTTCGTCATGTTTCCACCTTGCGCACATGATATTTTAAAAATGGCTAATGGTACATACTTGAAATTTGATAGAATTCTTTATATGGGCACTATTTTCTAACTGAACCAAAATCTGATGAATTTTTAATATTATAAATTTTATGCACGAAAACATTACAGATTTTTTTAATAATACATCTTATAAACTCAACTCCAAATAAAATAAAATTTAACATGAAATTCTTAGAATTTTTGGTTCACAGTAGTTTCCAAGTGTTATAAAAGCTATGCATTAAATATGGAATTAAATTATGAAACAGAATGTTTAAAACTGTGCGCGGAAGGTGGAAACATGACGAAATTTTTTGTCACAAAGCGGATTAAATTATACAAATATCTGTGGCAAAAACTGGTTACTATTTCAGAAAGCAACTATATTATGTAGTCAGCTATAAAAAGTTCGAAGTAATTGCTTTTAAAATAAACAAGTTATCCCAATTCTTACAACAGTCACATATTCAAAGATCCTATGGGTTTTAAGGTGTATGAGTCTCCTTAAAACTATTTACTCACTTATACTAATTCCATAGTATATTACATAAATACTAAATTTATTATTCCAAAGGCAACGAAACATCTCCGAAACAATATGTTCGTATTCCAGTGGGAAACATCAGGTAAAAGATTTTTCGAATTCAATTCTTTATTCGGATTTTTCCGCATTTAAATTCGCCTGTCGCACCCAAATATACGAAATGGTGACATTTGTGCAAATATAACTCTGTTCTCAACATGTTAAAATTTTACTTACCGCATATTTTGCGAATGCTATGCGTATTTTAGTTTCTTGCGGATGAAGAATTTCGTTCTGGCTTATCACCCATTATACTCATGTGTCCTAAATGACTCTTCTAAAAGCATCAGGATTACGTTTTATCGGAAACTGTTCTTCTAAATCTGTTAACTTTTGGCAGTACTCATTTTTAGGTCTGGCTTGGGTTTTCATTGAATAAGATGCCGATTCCTTGCTGTTAGTTTGGCGTGTGATCCAGACTTTGGTGCATTATTAGCAGTTCCACGCAATTTTCATCGCTTTCTTACATCAAGGGTAGTTATAAACGCTTTACATCAATGACTTTCTGGAATATTTTGAATAATCTACCATCTCTAAAACGATAAGTTATTAAAATTCTAATAGAACTGGTCTCTAATTTGCAACATCTTGCTATGTTCAATTCAGATTTGGAAATATTATTAAATTTTGCCAAACAACTAGAAATTTCTAAATGCGTATGATCCCGCTTGTGAAGTATTTTCATTTAGCATTATCTACGAAAACATTTCAACAAAATCTGGAGCGTTCAAATTATTATGTGAATTATTGATTGATACTTTTGAACAAATTAGTTTATTACGTGGAATAGTTTGATAATATTTACTTTGAAACAAGTAAGGCTTAAAATAGAATAAAAATAATATCATAGAACATAGAAAAACGTTTAGTAGGAAAAAATACGCAATGCTCTATTCGGGACTCGAATCTGAACCCCTCGAACACGCGCTGAGCGTGCTACCACGAAGGCATGCTGGGAGGAGAGAGAAAATACCTTATAGTCTAGGTTTCAATACTCAGTGTAAGATCTATCCAAGTCAATTTCAAAACAGAATGTTCGAATACAAATGTGAGCCACTCTATATTACAAAATTCTTCATCTATTACATTTTTATTACTTTTATAACTTTTTAAATGGCAATATCATTTTTAAATAGTTTTTATTTTCCTTTTTTATAAAATTTTGTAATAAAAAAAAAGGAATTTGTAAAAAATGTCCATAGTTTGAAAATTAAAATTCTCCTTCAATCAAGTATTAATGTTACTTAACTCAAGTATTAATCAAGTATTAATGTTACTTAAAATTTGATTTTATGAGTTAATAACAGTAGATTCATATTTTTATTTAAGAAAATAAGCACAGTATTTGATTTTCATACTTCTTAATATTTTAAATTTTAAAAGCTCTGATGATAAATTCTTCTTCGAGTTATTATTCTCTAATCTGAAATTTTCGGATAGCAATATAAGTCACCTCTAAGTTACGAATTTGTATAAGTAAGAAAGAGATTAAGCAAAGGACATTTCTAGTTTAACATGAAAGTTTGATACGGTTTTAAAAAAAAAACAGAATATCATTTATAAAATAATTTTCATATATTCATTTTCCATATATTCATTCCATTCTTGGATAAAATCTTATTTCTTCTTTTTATAGTCTAAAAATTTAGAAAAGAACGCAGAGTTTAAATGTAAGCGGGGAAAAAAGTTTTAGATTTTTAACTTTAGCGAAAAGTTGATTAAAACATAAAGGAAAATTATTTGTAATTTAAAATTGCAAATGGGTTTCATAAGCACGGAGACAAAAACATGATTTCAAATGCATGCGATGGAATAATTTCAATTTAATACTTTTTCGACTCACTGAATATTCATCTAAAATTGAAGAAATCAGATGTATATATCAAAATGGTAGTTAGATTTAGAGGCAAAAGAACTATGCTGTAAAGGTAAGATTTTTCAAAATTAAAAACAGATGTCCTGTGAAAATTTTGTAGGTATAACGCTGATTTTTGTTGTTTGACTTTTGAATTAGTAAAAACAGATATAAAATTAAATATTTGTTGTTATTTGTATTAGCGATAAATGACTTCTTTTAATAAAAATTGCATTGCATCATTAACTAGTTTTAGCCATACATGAAAAATCATTGAAAGAAAGGATTTTAAAGTAAATTTTAAATTTTAAATAAGGCAGTAGACCCCCTTAAAATCGACATGTAGTCTCTCCATTATTGATTTGAAGGGTGATCTGACACAAATCTTACTTCTTAAGGAGCAAAGCTTTATTGCAACTGTGAGAGCAGCAATAAAACAAATTTATAAGAAAATTAATGATCAAAACAAAGAGAAAATGAAAGCACACCCTTTGTTGTGTAAACCAAGAGCAAAAAGTTAAAAATTACTGGAATTTTTAGGTACAGGTACAGAAATTTTGAAGGCTTTGGGAAAATCAGAATTTGAATTGGTTCATTAAATTAAAGAAATTCCTTATAGCTTTACATCTTCCTATAAATTTACCTTCTTTAGTTAACAAAATTAATTTCAATTCGCTTTTTTCCAACGCTTTTAAAATCTATAGCTTAGTTTTTTTTTCACATTTTATTACCATTTTCTTCAACATGTGGCGCTGAGATCGTTTTTGCTTTACTTATACTATTTTTTCTGTAAGTTGTTTGCAAATCTCAATTTTATAAAAAATTGGTTTCGTGTTGAAATGCAAAAACTTCTGTTAAATCGCCCTCGAAATCAAGAGTCTTTTTTTTTTAATCTACGCCAGTCGAATTTTTTTACTTCAATTTATCTTTCAATTTTACATTTTGTATTGTTTAGCTGTTTCTCGCTCATCATTTTATAAAGAAAAAACACGCATTATATCTTGACAGAATGTTTCTAAGTGGACTTGCAGAGTCATTAGGATGTTTTGAAGCAAGAGACATGAAGAAATGAGCAATGCCCTCACCGATACTCGAATCTGGACCTCTCAAATACGCGACGAGTGTGCTACCGTTACACCACGCAGGCATACAGAAAGGAGAGAAAAAATACCTTACATAAAGGTTTACGCGTAGTGTGAACGCTGAGCACTTAAAATGACTGAAAGTAAAATATCCTGAAAAAATTGCATAATTAAATAGCCTGGAAAGAATCGGAAGGAAATTCGATTTTGTCTATCGATAATTTAGACGACATAGACTGTTGATGCACCATAATAATGAAGACATATTAAGCAGTACTTGTTACTGACAGCAGGAAATATTGTGATTAATAAACGTTTTCCCAGCAGAATACTGCGTATATTTCCAGACTTCGTTTTCCAAAACCAGTGGTAAATGGAATTGCAATATTGCAAGCCACATCAAGGCTATCTGCCTAATGGGGATGTCTTCGTGGAGGGTTTTCTAAGGTAAATTGGCTCGTATTTACATCACGTATCGGGAAACTATAAAAAACCAGTCGTAAAGCCTACCATTTCTCCTGGGATCGAACCTCAGTCGAACTCCCTGCGTTCAGCGGTCCTAACCGCTCTGCCACTGGTGGGGGCCAAAAGTAAATGTAGATAACATTTAATAATAACGACGGGATACTAGCGTGTACTCAAAGATCAACCATACAGTACTAAGAAAAGTTTCCTTCTTTTGAAAATATTTCACGTGACATCCTCCAAAAATTAACTGAGTTTATGTTTAATAATTTTTAACATATAAATTTTTCAAATGCTATTAAAATCTAGAGGTGGATCTTCCTTTTTAGCCGCTTTCGAAAATAACTTTTCATTCTTTAACATTTTATCTTCCATTGAGATAAAGAATTTTAAAGTGAGTAATTTAAAGGTCTTTGAATTTCTTACATTTTTGTAAGAACTTTCTTTTAAGATGCAATATGTTAATGAGTTAAAACGTAAAAACATTACCAAAAACTTCTTTTCAGAGATATGGAACTTCCTTCTACCGGTACAGAACTTCATCATTTATCAAATGTCACAACTGAGACTCCTTCGGAAGATAATAATGACGATTTTGATATGCTAAAGACAATCTTACACCTTGGAGTCTTTGGATTTATCGTCGGTTTGTGTGTATTAGCTATTTGTTTTAGAATCACTGTGAATTATCTGAAGAAACACTTCAACTGCTTGAATTCAAGAACTGATTCTATTAAAAGATTTAAACAGAGATCATGGAAGTTGGAACAAATGGAGGATATTTAAAAAAATTGTATTTAGTGTTTTCTACATTATTGTATTTTTGATAGCGAGTCTGAATTTAATGTGAAATAAAAGAACCTGTACAATAAAATTTTAGAAAAAATAATATTATTTTCACTACTATGTCCATTTAAGTAAAAGTGAAAGTCATTCTTTTGCATTTAATTGATACTATCTACTATTCTGGTTTAAAACAAAAACATTATTGAATAATTACTTACTAACATTTAACTTATGAAGCAGTAATCATATAAATGCGATTTTTAAGGCTAAATTTTGATCTAAACAGGCATCTGACAGTAAAAAATTTAAATATATTGGAAATGTTAAGTGTAAAAAAGCACATTAAATGTTTCTTAATTATTATTCAAGTCATCATGTTTTAATTGATATTGATTCGCATATCAACCTCATGTTGTTATTAATAATGATTATTCTAATTTTCTCAAATTCATCATTTTAAATATAAATTACCGAAACATTTGAATTAAAACGAATATTAAATCCGATTTAAAAAGTAGCGTATACCGAAATTACAAATAATTACCGAAATTATAAATAATTACAAAGTAAAAATTTTAATTTCGAAGAGTAAATTAAACTGCAACAGAAAAAATTGTTGAGCGTTATTAAAAAGAATAGTTGTTTAATAAGAATGCTTTTGTGAGTGGGAAAAGAAATAGCTTACATATTATTGTATATTTGACATTAATACGAGAAGTAAAAACCTACAGTGGAAGTTTCTGTTCCACTAACTAGTATATATCGTTCAAGAAAAAAATGACGTAATAATTTAAATGTTTATATAATTCTAAAAAGTGTTAATTTTTAATCTACTCATTTCTTTAAGAAAACAAAATCTCATGACAACACTATATAAAATAAAATATACGACAAAAGTGAACTGGAATAATCAGAAAGAAGGAAAAAATTATAATAGATTTTTACTCCATTGTACAAAGTAAAAGAAGTATTGTAATCTCAAAAAAATTCGTTTATCAGATTTCAACGGAAATGTTCATTTTGATAGTACCCCAATCCCTTTTCAGTATTTTTGCTTGACATCTATACGTACGGACGGAATAAAAGATCCTTTATTACAAAACAGATTGTAAAATGGATTTTTCCCTGACTTCTGTATATACCTACATGCATACGTATGTAAACTCCAAAACGGTTAGCCGTAGAACGTTAGGATTTTGCATGAAGCGGCTGTAACATCTATTTATGCATTTGCCTTTTTATTGTAATCGGCAGTCACAAATATATATACTCCCCCTCTACCGGCTTATAAGTCCTTACCCAGCTTTTATTTCACCAATCGTTGGTCTTAGTCTAATTACAGAAGAGTTTTACGTGACGGAAAACTTCTGTAATTAGAAGTATATGACTACGACCAGCTATTGGTGAAATAAAGGTCGTGGCCCGTTAACAGCTGGCTAAGCAATTTATTTACATTGGCCAAACTAAGAGAGCCTTAAAATTTCGCGTCAAAGAACATGAGGCATATGTTAGAAAAAAGGAAACACAGAAGTCTTCTGTTGCTCAACATTGTTGGTCCGAAAATCACACTTTCAATTTTTCTGCTGCCAAAATTATTCAAAAAACATCTTCCATTGGAGAACTGGATTTTCTAGAGGCATTTCACATTCATAAAAATCTTTCTGTTCTAGTTAACGATCCTAATTCCAATCCAAATTTGCCTTCGGCTTTTAGAGAAATTATGTTTTAGTTCTGGTTTCGCCAACAGATGGCGCCACTTGCTTATTCTTGTCCAGGCTTTCTTATCTTATCTAAACATTATTTCCTATCTTGTTCATTTGCGGTTTTGCAGCTGAAGATGATGGTTCGGTAAAACCATCGAAACTAGTCCTGTGAAAATTTTGTAAATTAACGCTGATTTTTGTTGTTTGACTTCTGAATTAGAATTTATTGCAGCTTAATCTTTTCCAGTTAACCTTTGGTAGAACTCTGTATGCATTCCCTTCCAGTCTTGTCACAATCCCACCTCTCTTGTAACCTTTGCAAAATTTTATTCTGTAAAGTAGTTTCTATTGATTCCATAGCTTCTTCGACTGCATCATTTTCAAATATAGTCGAATGTTCGTGTATCCAAATGATATATAGTTTAAACTTTGTGTTCATGTCAAATACAAAACCCCTTATATTTGCCACCTTCTTGGAAAGTCACTTTAGAGAACTGGGAGCTTTTTAAATACTTTGGGAATCAGTATAGATGAAAATTTCATCACCAATGATACACACTTTATTTTTATCACAATCTCCGCACTCCAATGCTTTTACAAATACAAGGAACTCAGCGATAAGATAAATATAAATTATTTTCCTTAGAACAGTGGTGCCCAACCTTTGGCCTATCGCGAGCACATTTCCAAAACATCAACATTTTTGTTAAACATATCTCATGTGATACATCTGAAATATTAATTTTGGCAAAGGAGTTTGAGATGAATAATAATATTGGTTGAACTTTATGGAAATCAGAGAAGCGGAGTTCAAAATTATTTTTCAGTGCATTTAGGTTCTCCGAGTATTTCTCTGTTTCAATTTCTTTGTGGTTATTAATATGACATGATAAATTCTGAAAATGGGTAAATATTTTTCTTTCATTTGATTCATCCACAAATTTAACTTTATCTGAAAAGCAGTTACAGTTCCAGTCAATTGAAAAGGATTTTTTTATCTTTTCCTTGGCATCTTCGTTCAGTTTGTTCAGTTACAGATCGGATAATCAATTATTTTCGTCCAATTCTTTGTAACTTTCGTTTCCGGATTCCGAAAAGTGCTTTATTAGCGAAAGAAGCTCTGCAAATCGTTGAAGTACTTTTCCCCGACAGAGCCATCTGACATCGAAATGAAGCAACAAGATTCCATGTTCGCTATCAAGTTCATCAGTCAACACTCAATTATTTTATAACGTCTTGCAAGATATCTCTTATGACTGTAAATGCTTACCCTATTTTAACAATTAGGAAATGTACTAAATGAATAGTTATTTTTAAAATATTTTTTGTCATAGTACCTAATCGAGCTGGCGAGCACATACAAAACGATCGGTGAGTATACTTGCGCTCGCGAGCACAAGGTTGGGCACCACTGCCTTAGAAAGTCTTTTACAAGGGCAACTATTGCTTCAACTATATAAGCACTTTAAAAAATAACATGCATGAAATTAAAGAGCTGTAAGAGTTAAGTTGATAATGAAGTGTAATCATCAAATACATTTGTAAGTTGAAACAAGAATAAAGTTGTGAACATTCGCAACATAACAAAAAGATGATTTAAAATGTTATTCTTCCTCGAAAAGTAAAACAAATGGAGTGAGGAGAAAGTAAAAAAAAAGGTCTGTTGTTGAGAAATATCTCCCAACAGAAATAAAATATGATTTATTGGCGCCATTTCTCTATCTGTCGCCAAGTATAGTCGCCCGAAAAAAGAACACTATTTTATATCAGGTTTGCCACGTACAGATTTTTACAGCAAATTGAGAAGTTTGTCTTAAACTGAGACTATAATAAAAAGAATTCTTACATCCGCAAATGTAACTGGGATTTCGTATTAATGCGTGTTAATAAATATAAGAAATATCTCTGCAGTATAAATAGAATACTGAAGCTAACCGATAATTTTATAAAAGTTTATTGAACTTTAAGATAACGTTAAGAAAAGATTAAAATCGTTTTCCAAATTAAAGAAATAAACTTCCGAATTGAAGAATGAATTCAACATCAAACACAAAGATGATAATCAAAATTACATAACTAGACCTAAAAGTGTCACTTAATTGCGTCTAATGACGGTAAATATGCTTGCATATACTTTAAAAAAATTTCTTTGTAAAAAGTAACTCTGGCAGCATCTTCATCGCCCGTTGAATAAATGTTTTGCTTCTCATAAGATAAGATTTGCAATATATACCGCTTAGTAAAGTTTGCAGCATATAATGCGAATTCCAATAATGCTGGGAACAAATGGGAAGAAATAATGCAACTTTAATAGAGAGAACATATGATCTAAAAAATTTTCTCAAGAGAACAAACAATAAGTATAAAACTACAAATTAAATACAAAAAAGAAAAAGAAAATTTTATTAAAAATTAAACATTGATTAAAATTCAGTTGCCATAAATTATCAAATAGTTCAACGACTTAGCGATAGTACTTGTCGTTAATGCGAAATGCGCTAGGTTAAGTGGAACAATTAGTATTGCTGAACTGGCAACTAGACACAGGAATTCTCTTAGTCTTACTGCCGCGTTTTTTTTTATTTATTTATTTATTTATTTATTTATTTATTATTATTATTTTATTTTCTATTTTGCATTCGCTATGTTGACACTACATTCGCTGTCTTTAATAGCAACAAGATGACTTATCTTAGGTTCCGTAAGTCATGGAGGGAATATTATGAATATCAGTATTCTATAGAGATCATACCACTCAGTTCATTTTTTATTTTGAAAAACAATGCTAGATGATATGCTTTCTTCTCTTGATATTTAAATTTTGATCTCGCCTTGCCTTGAAGATTTTAATTTTGAAACTTTCCTTCTGTTATTGACATTTTAATTTAAAATTAATTTTGATTTGATCTTAATTTTGATGTCTCTGTGACAATTGATCCTACTCCTGCAACAAGGCGTTTTTCAACTCCGGAATGACCTTTGGAGGTGGTTTAGCAGAAAATTGCCTCCCGAAAAACGTCTCAGACATGTTGTATAGTGTTGAAAGAGAGAGAGTTCTTGTAAGAGTTCTGGATGGCCAATCTATGCAAGTAACTTTATTTTCCATCTCATCGTCGAACAGCTGAGCCCAATGTGGACGTGCGTCGTCGTCCATTAACAGGAATTCAAGACCAATTGAGCCAATGGAAAGTCGAACTTAGGGCTCTAAGGTCTCCTCTTCATACCTCATAGCAGTCAGGAAGTCTTTGTTAAACACATGCAGGAGAGTGCGGCAGTCCAAGATAATCCGTGCGCAAAGCTTTATACCTCCACCACCGTAATGATCCTTTTCTATGATGAGAGAGGGATGGTATCGTGTTCCAGGCACTCTCCAGATCCAGGTACTCCAAGAATCAAT